CGGGGAAGGACCGTCCAATCCTGGCGAGTAAAAGGCACCCCAAACACCGCCCCCCCCGCCTCTCCCTGAATGGGCTCTGAGGTAGGTAAATTAATTCAGTGCGGGGGGCGGGGAGCCCTTTATGCCTCGGTTCCTGCCCCATTTGTTGGCAGCCTTGTCAGGGGCCGAGGGACATCCTCGGGCATTTGTTTCAAATAATTTTTGCATGACGGGAGTTAATGCCCACCTTGTCTGCGCCCACCAGAGCAGAAAGAGCTCTAGGTGTGATTGGATGCCCCCCCATTTCACAAGGAAGTGCCAGATGCGGGGGGAGCGCAGAGCAGCCCAGCCTCTCGCACACCTGCCCTGCAGCAGCAGCACGCTTGTGCAACGGGGGCGCTGCCTGCACGAGAGGCAGGTGAGCCCAGCCCAGGGAGTCTGTCCCAGGGAGGGTTCCATGCAAGATGCCCGAGTCAGGCTCCCACCTGTGTGCCCACACGCACCCCCTGCCGGGGCGCACCATGCCTGGGGAGCAAGGAACGTGGCTTGGAAGGAGCCCCAGTCCAAGACCGAGGAGCCAGGTGGGTCTCAGCCAGCTGGGAGCAGAGGAGGCAGCATCCGGGACCAGGGAGACCAAGTCCTAGTGGACTTGGGGCCGGCTGCTCACTCTCAGCCCGCTGGATTTCATTATGGGGGAGGCAGTGGGGGCGCTCCTGGAGGCAAGGCAGGGCATCAGTCCAGCAACTCCATAAATGATGGCGGCCCCTCTGAAGGAACAGGCTCTCCTCCATGCCCAGATTTTACGGGACAGCCTGGCTCCAGCAGCCCGCGCCTAATATCCGTGCAGTTGGATTGCCTCTGTGGGCTCCAGATGGGGCTTCCCTTGAAGACAGTCCGGAAGCTGCAACCACTGCAAAAGGGCTTAGGGGGGCCTTTGAGGCCCCCGCAAAGACTCCTCTGGCCGCCCTGAGCAGCCCCAGCGCTGCCCCTTCCAGGGTCCTCAGCCCGCCTCCTAAATCTTCCGCCCCAGAGAGAGTCAGCCCCACAGAAGGAGGCCTTGTCGGCAGGAGGAGGCACACGCTGCCGGTTTGCTCACCCCCAGCCTTTACGGCCTGCCCTTTGGGTCCCCTTCTGAGTTTTGTTTTTGATATCTGCATTTTTTAGGATAGGAGATGTTACTGATTTGCTTTCATTGGAAACTGTTTTCGCTTGGGCCCCTTGGGAGAAGAAATGGGGTAAAATCAATCGAAGGAACAGTGGAACAACGTGGTCCATCCCACCCTCTTTTGGTGTACGGCACGTGGGAACCCTGGCTGTATTTACACCGGCTTCAGTATTTCCCCAAGCGGACACCCCACCACCCTTCCGGACAAGGCCTGATTTTGCTGTCCCGGCTTGGAGCCTGCTGTGGCCTTATTGGTTGGCTAAACTTACAGCTGAGCTTCCAGGTCTGGGCTGCAAATCTCCAGATGATCGCTAGGTGGCAGCAAAGGCTTCAGCTCTTGGTATCTCTCTGAGCCATCTAGTGGCCGAGCGGGACTTTGCAGCCCAGATGCAGCGGCCCCGCCCAAACCCGTTGGGTAAGTTTAGGATTCCCAGTGTTTGTAAATCCAGAAAATGGGTGAACCCAGTAAGCAGCTGAAGTGGTTGGTGTGAACCCAGCCACCCGGCAGGATCAAGCTGGTTCTTTTAATCGGGCATCAACTGCCTCTCCCGCGAGAGTGCCATCGCCTGCTTCCCAACAATGGGGCTCTCGGAGGAAAAGGGAGCTTGGGTCAAGCGAGGATTCGGTTCCTCAAATTTTTGAAAGAACATTGCATTAGACAGAGATGGCCAACACGGACATTTAGAACTGGCATGGTGGCACTGGTGGCCGTATTGTTAAGGTTTGGCTCAGCAACCCCATGGGCTCTGTTCCTGCAACCCCTCCACCAGGTCATTCCAAGGCCTAGCAGATGCCTTGTCATACGGACCTAACCAGAGGCCTTTACTGGACATCACTGAAGACCAAGTCATCTTCTCCATGAGCAGCAACCCCCGAAGGAACCCCCCTGTGAAAGGGACGCCTTCCTTTCACCAGCAACCCTTTTCTTACCGGCTGAGACAATAAGCACAGAGAAGCCGCCTCTCCGGTCAGCCTGCCAAAAGCACCAAGGGGCTGCCCCTCCTGGCAGGGCATGGCCAGCTTTTCCTCCTGGCTCAGCATCCAGACCACTGGCCCCCAAGTGCACGTCCCCGGGAGGGCTCTTTGCCGGCCGCCAACCCTCCAGGGCGCAGGCAGCTTCTCTCCTGCCCTGCTTCTTCCTCCTCTTTCTTTCCCCTGGGGGTTGGGGGACAGGGAAGGGGAGTGGGAGAAACCGCCATCGTAGCCGCCCTTCAAGTCAGCCAAGCACAGCAGCCCTCATGTCAGGGCCGGAAACGGGGCAGGGCGGGGGCTTTAGCAAGCGGTTCCTCAGCCAGCAGCCTCCCGGGGTCCCTGCTCCGCAGCCAAGGCTGGTCAGGCGAGTTTCCCTCTCGTCAAGTGCCCATTTAATGGGAAGGGGTGTTGCCAGGCAAGCAACACTTTGAAGAGAAGACGCTCCTCAGGGCTGGGAACATCAGTGCAACCAACCCCCCAGCCCCCCCAAAGAGAGTCGACTGAAAAAGGCAAATTCGAGGGCATTTATTTATTTAAACAATTCCTATAGCTGCCCATCTCGTAACAAGGACCCCACTGCCCCTCCTTGTCCAAGGGAGGAAGTGATACCTGGACCAAGCCACAAAAACTGTCCAGAAGCGGACCTGGTGTGAGCTCATGAAGCCAGCCCCTGTGTCCTGGTGGGCC